GGACATACAACCGCCTACATTGACTAGCTGTGACCGCTCATGCAAGTAACTCCTAAATCACGTAATAGTACTATCAGAAAAGCCAAGATAATGCAGCTTAGCAAGAAGCAATTCATGATTGATAGAATCGAAAGCTTTGCTGAGATCAACTAGAATTGACGTTGTGACACAAGATTTATCCATAGCCCTGATATAGTCATCACATATGCGAATCAAAGTGGTAACCGTACTGTGCCTGCAAAAATTAAACAAGGCGTATTTTGCTATTTTCAAAATGAAACCTCTCCTAAACCAACATGGTCTTTTAAGCCTATACTATGCATTTGTTTTTAGGCATTTGTCACTTAATATCGACACTTGGGGAGTGTCTGGTGATATTAAAACGGTATTTTTATCTCAAAAGAAAATCATTAGGGTCATTTTTGTTTAAACTATTAATGAGTCATCGAAGGCAACTTTTTAAGAACTTCTTTGACTTGTCACATGTATCAATGTGATCAATAAATATCTATCTATCTTCTTCATAAATCTTCATTATTTTTCTCAAGCTTTCGATGAGTCAAGTTGGCAAAACGAAATTCGGAATGAATGTGATGTAGGCCCCCAAGTTTTTTACCTCTAAAATTATTTTCAAAAATGCGTCCTTAGCACAGCAGTAACATTGCGTAAAAATTTCATCGAAATCTGGGCGGTACTTCTCAAATTCTATATAGGCGGTTATACGATTAGCCTATTGCCTATTTTTTAAACGGAATGTCTAATAATTTTATTGCATGTTTATGTGAACCCTTCCAAAAGAAGAAGATTGATATAACATCTTGTACCATTTTGATCATTACTTGTTGAGTTACATGATTCAATGTACAAAAAGGCGCATTCGCGTTATTCCCATAACATAATAAATGCAAATTACAGGGTTGAAAAGTATTGTTAAACATCTTCATCATGAGGTGGTACATGACCCCCTTTAACTGAAAACGTTGGCGCCCAGAAACTATCTTGAAATTTCTTATTGTCACTTCCACGTTAAAATATAGTATCTATGCATCATATTAATTTGACTCGTTCAAAAAGTCAGTAGGGACCTTTACGTGTCTAGGTGAAATTTGAAGGCGATGGCTCCAAAGGTTGATAAATCCGTGGTTTCCGACGTATTTGATTTTATATAATACAGAAACGTCAAAAAAAAAACGTGTATTGTATGGGACTTGCTCATCATTAAAACTTTAGTGCAACACTGGAATGATATCCTCCATATGGCATTTGAAATGTCTGATAAATAATAATAACATAAGTAAATGCTTTTTTCGTCCGTTTTGTATTGAAATAGTTTATATTCTGCGATTGCCATGCTATTCTTAACTTAAAATTGTCTAAAGGTAAAATTGTTGGTTCCATATTTCCAACCCAATAAGAATGTACCTTGCAGGTTTTACCATATACAGGTGTTTTCTGGTGCGAGTTTTGGGTCCATTTTAACAAGAAAAAAATAAATCATTTTTATTAATATCTGTAAATACTACTTTAGATATTTTGCTGAAATATGTATCAAGCGTCATTTTTTAATGAATTAATTTTATTTCATCTCCACCAGTAGCGTTTGTTCTGAATTTCACTTGCCTGTTTTGCTAGACATTGATTATACACCACTAATTTCTCATAAAATAAACATTGTCATTCATTTCTAAGTATACTTGATCGCTTGATTTTTTCAATCTGATGCGCGATTTTCGATTAGAAAAATAAAAACTTATTCTCTGCATAATAATAAAAATATTGTTTAACTATGATAGTGTCACCATGCAAAGAAATATCACTTAACTTTTCAGGTGAAAACCGTGCGTCATATGCAGATTTCATTTTTTTTATTTCAAGAAAAGTCAGTGACGTATCTACCACTGACTTTCTATATAGCAAACTTACCAACCTGTAACCAAAAGTCAAGACGTTTAGGACATACGTTCATATGAACTTTTCTTCTTGAAATGAACCCAAAAACCATGTTGCTGATTTGTGTTGGTCTGCTCACTGAGATCTAACCCAAAAATTTCAGTCACAGCTGTACCAATTTTGTTGAATTCGTAAGAACCATGGTGAGATACGGGGACCATAGTAGTAATCACTGTATTTTTAAAAATATGTGCATCGGCATTTTAGTGACCATAAGGAATAATCACAGACATAATCCATACATTTATATCTCTTTCAAGTTTACGATAAACTACATTGCATATTAGAACTGTTTAAGGGACTCATATTTCAAAAATTGAAATCGCAAGGTTCTGAGCTGAACAAGTCATGTACCTCAACAAAAATAAGCAACGTAAAGGCAACAGTGGCGGATCCTGAGGGTTCGGACACCTCCTGAATATCAGAGGTAAAAAAAATGCATGTTTTTCAATTTACGATGACCCTCCCGTTTGCTCTTTAATTTTCAATCTGCGAAACCCCGCCCCTTCGAGACGTATATCCTACTGCAGATGAATGCTGAGGTCCCCAACCCAACGCTTTTTCCATATGGACCCCTCTCAAAATGTTTTCTAGATCCGCCCATGAAAGATAATGCACTAGGCACCCTTTCCTTATTTCCATAATTTCGAATAAACTGCATTAGCATTGTCCCAAGATGATACCTGTAAATTGCAGGTACAGGGATTAGAGTTCGTAGGGTTAAATGACCACCCCAATAACAGACTAAATATGAAGGCTCAAACATTCCCTTTGTTTGTAAAACTCTGTGGTCAAATTCAAGATAAATCTATTTCTGTGAAGAACGAGATGAAATATTTTTCTGATGATATACAAATTTGGTCTCTTAACACCCACAATCATTCACCTGGGTTTTCAAACGGTTTTTTAATTATTTTACATAAGCTGTATGAGTTGGGGATATTTAATTCAAAAATCGACCAAGACTAAGTCAGGAAAATGTTTCATATTTCTAAAAAAAGAAATAATTGTTTACTACTGCTGCTTACTACGAGAATAAGATATTTCTCGCAGTATTGATATGTTCTCATAATATGGCGAAAGATTTTTTTGGTGATTCTGAAATTGTGTCTAACAGCTGTTATGATTTTCGTTATGTTTAATTTCTGCTTGCTCTCTAGCTATTTTCAATTAAAATATTTACTTTTCCAGCTTCCACTACGTAAGATTTGAACATAATCTGCAACTTTTTTTGGTCAAATAGCTTCAGTAGTTTCGGCATCGTTTACGAAATAGACTCCATTTTTGAAGTGAATCGTTTTAAAAAAGTTAAAATTGGGAATGATATATCTGAAAGTTTACAAATTGTTTCAAGAGTTCCCCAGGGCTCAATCCTGGGGCCTATAGTTATCACAATTCATTTACATAGCCTATTTCCAGACTGACTTCAGTCGGGAAAACTTATCGACTACCAAAAATTAAATAAATGAAGATTTAGCGAGTGTTGTCAGATACGCTTCTAAGCAAAACCTGTCGTTAAATCCCAGTAAGTGTAATTCAATGTTATTTTGTCAAAAAAGATCTCATAGTTACAAAAACAGAAATTTTAACATCAGTGTATTAACCGGTGAAACGTTTGATGAAAATTTGAGATTCCATAATCATATCAACAGTATTATACATACATTACTGCAGTTTGGATAGTGTGACGAAGATACGTCTGCAGAAAGTGCAAAATTCTTGCTGTCGTTTGTTTACGGACTAAGAAAATATGATCATATGTACGAGGGGGTACCCAAAAAAACCCGTGGAAGAGCCAGTCTCCTGACTGCCACAAATCGGGTATTTTTTTGCCGAATACTGTTTCGCAATCGTCTTAAAACCTCCAAATAAAAGGTGTGACTGACAGTGTGGCCTGGGGGAACAAACTCGGAATGGACTACACTTGTGACATCAAAAAACAAAGCATTGTTATGATGTTTGATTTGACTTGACATTTTTTTGGACGGTGTGACGATGGCGTCTTCCACTGACTTGACGTAGCACCAAGTCTCATCACCAGTGATGATCTTCGACAGAAAATTCGGATCAGATTCAAGCTGTTGTTTCAAAGCACGGCATGTTTCAACTCGATGTTCTTTTTGATTATCAGTCAGAGCCCGAGGAACAAACAGCAACCCTTTTCATTTCCAAATCGTCTGTTAAAATTCGCTGAACCGAACTCCAGGACAACTCACTACTTGTGATCCATAGTCAGTCGACGGTTTGCAAGCACAAGCTCTCGAATTTTTTCACCATTTTCGTCACTTCGGGCAGTTGATGAACGTCCAGAGCGTGGTTTGTCATCAATCGACATGTAGCCATTTTTAAACCGAGCAAACCACTCGTACACCTGAGCTTTTCCCACAGCATCATCTTTGTAAGCTATTTATAACATTAAAACATTTTCAGCAGCATTTTTACCAATCAGAAAGCAAAATTTCATAGCTGTAGTTCTAGCAAAAATTATGACTGCAGACGAATGAAACAATCCAGATCGACAACTCAGGTGGCACTGAACTGGTAATGAGTTGCGCTGTACGTCTCTAGGGGCAGAAATGTGTACTAGACAAGCTCCGCCCACTGCAATGCTATTCCGGTTATTTTTGGGTACCTCCTCGTATATCAGCTGCAGAATTACACTACCTTAGTTTTGTACATAAATTAACAGTGAGTTCCATACTATCGTATTTATTTGAAAAACTTACACCTGGAAAAGACATACGGTCTCTAAATTTAAGATGCGGGGATAACCTGAGAATAACCCATCACCATTCAATACTATTCCAAAAATTTTCTCATATAACGCTGTGAAATTATATAATCCGGTAAATGATGAGATAAAAAATACTATTTAAAAAGAATATTAGGCAAATGCTACTAGCAGAGCCAGTTTCACATTTTGATTTTGTAAGTTATTTACATTATTCTCTAAATTCCAGTATAGTCTACTTTCTATTTTTCTCCCAGAATCGCAAATATTCATATAAAAGTTAATGATCTGTCCTAACCTGAAATCTAAAGCGACTTACATTGAACACAAGATGTTGCACAAGCACAGCGAGCGCTTCAGCTACAGGTGGAGCTGGCACCACCGGCGCTTGTCTGAGCTTGCTGACCACTGTCGTCGGCGATTGCTGATTCTGTTGCTGACGTTGCTGAGCCTGCTGCGATTGCTGTAGCTGTTGCTGAGGGGGCCGGACGGTGACAGGCGGTGACGTTCGGCCCCCTTTCGCCGCTGTGCCCCTGCTGCACTCTGAAACAACGGAAAGATCCTTTCAAATATGGTGATCGTAAAAAAAGAGTAAGCAGAGGAGTCAGCAATAGGCATTGCACACATATTACACCATTTTTCCTCTATAATGGCCTGAGATTATTATTAATAATAAATATTATTGATAATAAATAATGATAATCTCAGGCCAATATACAGGATAAATTAATAAAATGTAATATTATTGATAATAATATTAAATAATAGTTTGTTCGAGTTACCGCACAAGATGTTCTTAAACCGGTTAAAACAAAATATGAAGATATATACACAAAGAGATAATAACAAATAGCAAACCATACGACATTATAAATGCAAAATATGATGACTAGGATAGAAAAAATAGGAAAGCTATGTCAAAACCAAGAAGACGTAAGATATAAATCCATGGATGTCTTAGGAAGCCCGTGATAAAAAAGCTTTTCATAACACTAAAATCGTCGACATCTAGAGCTCTGGTGTGAGGAGGTAAGGCATTAAAGAGTTTCATCCCCAGAAAGTTAACGCCATTTCTGATTTAAGTGATTCTGTAGATGCTTCATATAGTAGTTTGACTTATTTCGATTATTGTATGAATGGATTTCTTATTGGGTTGTATATGTTACCGGCAATCTGTATAATCTGGTATTCTATATAACGCCTAGGTAATGTATAGAATACCTAGAACGAGTAGGTAATGTATGAAATATTATTTGTTTTATACTTTGCCTAGGCATTCTATACAATACCGAATGCGCAGCCGGTAATGTACGTAAAAGACGAGAGCAAGGAGCAGGTTTTATGTACCGACAAGGCAATAGACCTACTTATTATTTTCAGAGGATTTTTTGTTTCTTAAGTACATGTGAGTTTTTTTTATTTAATTAAAATTTTTACTAAGCAGCAGACCTACTGCCTATACCTTTACAGAATTGTTTTGTTTCTTCAATTTTTTATACGTCGTACTTGTAAGCAAAAAAAAATACATTATGTTACTTATATCCAGAATAATTTTAGTTTCACGTTAATTTTACTGTACTAAAAGAAAGGTGCTTTTTTGTACCCTTTTCATAAAGCTTATTTTTAAGGAGCACTCTACTTGTTAATTTTAATAAAGTTGATTTTAAATAATATGACTCGTTTCATTTGCCCGTTATTTTATAGATACGCCGCTTAACATTGATAAATGTAGACCAAGTTCTATTTATTTTACACATTGACGGTGGAACAGCAGGTACTCTATACAAACCCTAGAAATTGTATTCATTACCTAAAGTATGTAATGGATAATAATATTCATAATATTTCATACATTGCCTGGGCATCCCAGGTATTCTATGCATTGCCTAGGCATTGTATAGAATACCTGAAATTTATAGATTACCGGTAACAATATACCTGAGAGACTGTCTCGACATAAATGACGCAGTAATAAATGCAAGCACAAGGCAGATTCATGATCTTTTATGAATTCTTCCTACAGGGATCTCTGTACTTCAGGCTGGGTAAAGCAAACACTTGATATATATATATATACTGTTGGACCAGCGAAAGATTGCAAGCCGAAAGAATGCGGACAAAAAATTGCGAAGTTGTCAGATGTTCTACATAAAATGCGGTCCATACATATTAACATATTTAAGATATAGAATTGTTCCGCTGAATTTGGCAATGTAGCTGGAAAACCCAGGCCGCAGGTAAACATCCGGTCGCTGATTGGTCCAAAACTCTTATCTTATCTGAAACTAGAATAACGTGCCGATGGCACGGTCATTTATAAACCTACTCCCATAGGCGTAGGCAGTTGGCAAATACTTTGAAAATATAATTTACTGTTTAGTGGTGATAATGGAATTCAAGCATGGGAAAGTTATTCACAGCCAGGCAAGGGAAATAATAGCAAACGTGATACGTGCTTGCGATGCAGAAGCGGCTAACAATACTTTCGTTTATCCACTGGTAGCTAGAAATGCAAGGGCGGCATATTATACGGGTGTTAGTGAACGAACTATAAGTAAAATTAGAAAAGAAGATAAAGACAGGCAAAATGCAACCTCCACACAGCCTTTAGCTTCTCCCGGAAAAAAGAGATCACGCCCTTCTGTGATCCAAAAAATTGATGGAGTCGATTTTTCCATTATTCGGAGAATGATAGAAAAATTTTACTGTGATTTTAAAGTGGTACCTACTTGTAGTAAACTTCTAATCAAACTGAAGGAAGAAATGGAATTTCCATTTGGTAAAGAATCGTTGAGGCTGCTTTTAAAAGCAAAAGGATTTTACTGGCGTAAATGCCACAACAAAAGGAAATTACTAATGGAAAGACCCAGTATTTTACATTGGCGATACAAGTATCTTAGGTCTATTAAAAAGTTCCGGGAAGAAGGAAGGCATATTATTTATTTGGACGAAACTTGGGTTGATAATGACCTCACTTTCAAGAAATGCTGGCAAAGCGAAGAAATTATGGGTGTCCTGAGCAATATAAGTTCTACAGGTAATAAAGTTTCTTTCACCTCGATTTTGCTTATTATACATTTTTCTCAATTTTGGAATATTCTTAATAAGTGCTCATTTAATTTGTCTAATTGAATACATAATCCCTTGCAAGTATTTTTTTCTCAAAAATATGTTTTTTATACATAGTGATTCAAAAAGGTGTTGGCAAACTTAAAATAACACTAAAATGAGGCTATTTATTCATTTCCAGGACGACTTATAATTGTTCATGCGGGTTCGCAAGATGGTTTTGTTCCTGGAGCCTGTCTCATTTTCAAGGCTGGCTGTGCCACTGGTGATTATCACGGTCAAATGAACCAAGAAAATTTCACGAAGTGGCTTACTGAAAAACTATTTCCTAACATTCCTCCTAATAGTATTATAATAATGGATAATGCACCTTACCATTCAGCTTTGGAAGACAAGCCTCCAACTAGATCTTCTCTAAAAAGAGACATCATCACGTGGTTGAGCAAAAAAGGTATAGAGCATGATCCTAATGCTAAAAAAATGGAGCTTTATGAAATAGCTTGTCTACATAGGCCACCATCTGATGAGAAAAATTATAAGATAGATAATTTAATAAGAAGTTTCGGACACACCCCACTTCGAACGCCACCCTATATGTGTCAGTTTAATCCCATAGAGATGATTTGGGCACAAGTAAAATTTTTCATTAGAAGCCATAATACAAGCGGCGAATTTACTATAAAAAAACTAGATGAAATTTCTAATAAGGCCATCGCTTCAGTAAGTGCCAGTGACTGGCAAAAGGTTATTGGACATGTTATAAAAATTGAAGATGAATATTGGGAAAAAGACAGTCTCATTCAAGAAATACAGGAAGAAATAATAATCAACATAGGAGGTGAAAGTGATAGCAATGACAGTTCCTCAGACAGTGATCATGACTCTAATCAGGATTGAAACTATACTAGATTGGCTACCTTTTAGAATTTTTAGATATTCATTTATTATACTATTGGTTTGTGGCTTTTAGTATCTCAGTAGAAAGTCTAATTCTATGTGTTGTTTATGGGTTATTTCATCAAGAAATTACTTTTTGTTTTCCTATATTTTTCTATTCAGTCAGATATTTTTGACTTGTTGTATTCTATTTTAGAAGAATGCATAATTTGTTTTGCTGTTCAATCATAATGCGTACATAGGAATATTACTTGTTGCCTAAAAAATATATTTATTTTGTTCTCAATATTCAGTGTTTGTGTATATTTATTTCTTATAATGTATGTTTGGTATCACGTCATTATGAATCGCAAAAAAATATTAATACTACCAGTTGTAATAAAATATAAATTCAATTAATAATTCAAGTCTCTCCGATCTCCGCCTATGACTCCATATAAAATCGTCTAATGGTAAGGTTTTTTCATCGCATTTCCCCCTTTCGTCCCTAGCAATCTTTGGCTGGTCGATCAATATATATATAAATGTGGTGAATGACGCCATACTACGATATCATATGTCATTTTACTATGAAAATATGCGTGGTAACTGGATAACACGCTTTTTTTTATACAGAATTTTTATGATTACGCTTAAAATGAATCATTTTTGTTAATGATTTGCTAACATAATGTATTCATCCAAGTTTAAAGTAGCATTTATGTATATTCCAAGAAACTTAATTGTCTCCACATGGTTATTACCAACAACGCGTTGTGGAGTAATGGTGATGGATTAATTTTTGTTTGAATTTACTGTTACCTTATTGATTATAAACCATTCAAGTGACAGTTGACAGCATACATCTAATGCAAAATTTGTTCTTCGCTGATATGTCATTTTTACTAAATAGTTCTTGAATATTTGAACTAGTCTAATGCTCTCGTGTACAAAAGCCATTTTGTCACGGCCATTTCTGTTTGCTCGATCTGTCGATTCTTGATTGCATATTTTAAGATAACAAAACCTGGTGATTCCGCAATTTTTTCATTCCCATTATCGTGCAGAGGCCTATACAAACAAACCGCATTTTCAGCATCACCCATCAGCAGAACGGCTCATAAAAGAGACCGCGCGTTTGTTTTCTTAATTATTTTCGCGCCTATGCTCTCTCGTTTTCAACGTATTTATTGGCTGGTGAGCCACGACTTCTTCCTGTGCTTGCGACAGGTTCTCATCATCAGGATTTCCGTTATGGCGGTTCGAAACCCGACACTGTTTCTATAATTATACCTATATTTCTTGTTAGATCGCGAATGAATTGCTACAAATGTGTCACTTCATCTAGAGACGGTTTAAGCAACAATTCAGCATTTCTATTTATAAAGATGATCTTGCATCAATCAAATTCGTACCCAAAGAGCACGAGGCTGATATCTAAGTGTTACTGGTGCCGACTATGAACAATTAACGTACCTTTTCAGGTGGTCGTCGGAAGAACTAAGGTGTAAACTAGTGGGCACTAAATTAATTAGTATGATTTTGAAAGGATTGTTTTATCAGTGACGAACATGGAAGTTGCAAACCAATCACGGAAC